CTCTCGTGTGGAAGAAAAAAAAATGGGTTTTGTGCTTTTTGGGGGGGGGGGTCCCCTTTTCCCTTTTTGGGGGGGGGCCTTTTAATAAAAAGTTCTTTTGACGTTGTTTTGGAGGCCACGCCCCTTTTTCCCCTGTTTGGATTTTTTTGTTATGTTTTCGGGGTTTTCTCCCCAATTTTTATTTGTGGTATATCCTGAAAGAAAATATTTTTTTCTTTTTTGAAATGGTTTTTTTTTTTCCCCCACACGGGGGAACAGGGGAACCCCGGGGGGGGAAGGGGGAAAAAATCCCTGTGGGGGGGAAATTCCTTTTCCCCGGGGGGCACCGGGAAAAACATCCGAATTTAAACCGGTTTTTTTCTTGTTTTTGGTTAAAATGGATGGGCTAAAAGGGAACCCCCCGCCGAGGAAAATTTCCCCCCAGGGGGGGGGGGGGGGGGTGCAGTGATCCCTGCCGACTGGAGTTATTTATGAACCTTTCACGTGTGCGTACGCACACCTTCCCTGCTGCGCAGGTGCTTGAGCTTGTCGGGCACGTGCTGCCTTCGGCCCTCGCCGACCTTGCCCTGGCGATGGCGTCCGCCTGCACGGCCGGCGGGAACCTGGGTGACAACAGCAACGACGACGACGGCGATGACGACGGGAGTGATGGGGGGGCGCGCCGCGTGGCCGACGCCGCTGCTGCTACCGCACGTGGAGCCGCGGGGGGGGTAAGCAAGCCGGCGACGGCAGGGTTTGGTTCGAGGCGTCGTCGTCAACCCCCGCCGGAGGCGCAAGCAACAGCCGGCGTTTCCGCTAAGGATACCGGTGGCAAGAATCACGTCAGTGATGACGGTTCTCCAACGGCCGCCCCCGCCGCCGCCGCCGGCCCCGAGCGAGGGACGGCGCTGTTTCGAGCGGTCGGCGGGGTCGATCCCGACACGACTCACCTGAACGCCGGGTTCGAGGCCCTGCTGGAGGAAGGGAGAGGAGCATTTCCGGCTGAGGAACGGCAGCGGCAGCGGCAGCAGGAGCAAGACGGGGGTGACGGTAGCAGCGGCGTGGAAGAAGAGGCCGGTCGGCGGCGGGGCGGCGCCTCTTCCTACTGCCAGGAGACGAGGGCAAGGGTGTTGCTCGCGGCGGGGGGGCGGCAACGGCAGCAGCAGCAGCAGCAGAGCGTCGTGTTTGATGTCTGCTCGATAGACCCCGAAGGGATGACGGCTAAAAGTTAGTTCCCTAAGAGGCAATGACCTTCGTTTTTTCGGTTCGTTCGGAGTTCGTACAGTAGCGTGGAGCGGCAGCTGCTGGTGGCGTGCGCCAGATGAGAGTCCCCTGCCGAAGCGGTGGCGACTGCGCCGCGTTTTCCTTGCCCTGCTTGTCCCAAGAGGCGTCGCACGGGTTGCCTTACCTTGAGGTGACAAGGGTGTCCGAAAAAGCGGACAATCGTAGCGCTGATCTTCGGAACGGTGCGGAGTATTACGCAGACGAGCTTCTGAACCAATTTCAATGGTGATGGCACAGGGCGGACGACGAAACGGGCAACAACACCGGCGCAGGTTGCGCATGATGCTCGAGTTTCGAAAGGCCAGCTATATGTGCTGCCCATGCTTCACGCCTGTGACGTTGTTGTTGCGGAACCTCTCGACCGCAAACATCGTGGTAAGGCGGCTGCAAGCCAACTGTTCAGTACACCATGATGCTCTTGTTTGCGGTGTTCCCACAAGAAAGGCCGAACGAAGTGATCGAAAGTGTGTTCCCGCACGGCGCCGCACGGCGGCCATGGTTTTTGACTGGTGATCGTTGCCGCCACATATCCTTCGTGATGAAGACAAACTACGAGCACATGAAGGCAATGCTAAAAGTAAAAGTTGTGTTTTTAGCGACGAATGCATAATACTACGTCGTGTTGCCCTTGCTTTGTTATCTCAAGAGATGGATGCCACTTGTAAAACGAATGTCATGGTGCGGTTGGAGACGACGAAGTCTTCGCCGCAAAGGATGGGAGGCATTTCTGTATGTCTGCGCCTTGAGTGAACGCAGTCTGGGCTTCTGCTCGCCGGATCCAGCGCCCCATTGGACCAGACAGCCTTCAAGGTTTTCCCCCCGCAGCAGCAGTTTTTTCGACGCCAAGAACTTGAGTCCAGCGCTGGGCATCATCAACGGATGTCTTAAAAAATGCGCTTTCATGTACGCTGCGTGCAAACGCAGCTTCTCCGGTGCGAGACTCACGGGAAAGTGCCTACACACGGTATCAATATCGAACTGGCCGCTTCACCTCATCACCTCGCATTCCAAAGGCACGGACGGCACCGGCATCCACCACAAAAATAACCGCAACAACAGAGCCTGGGCACCCGGCAACTTTCTGCCCACCCCCGCCGCCCCGTGAATCGCTCTCCGGTTGGACCAGCGGCAAGGTCGTGCCAGCCGCACTTTGTCAACTTGCAAGCGGTGTAGACAACGGTGCATTCGTCTCGTGCATATTGGTCTACGTTAAATAAATTGTTGTGCAAAAATCAACCCGAAAACCAAAGGCGTTAGACTAGACTACGATCGGACGAAAAATCATTCATGGCATGTGGAATTCACACAGTGGCAAGCAAACGAGGCGGCAAGTCTATCGCAATCAACAACGCTTTACAAGCACCTCGGAGACATCACCACAGGTCCCACGCCGTGTCTTACTCAGGATACACACGGACGGCTACATAAGGATGTTGTGGCAAACGTGCGTGTGCGTGTCACCACCCCTAAAACGCTCCACACACAAAAAAAAAAAAACGGCCCAAGCGAAGTCCAGCCCCAAGAGGCCGGCCTCGCTCGCCAAACGTTGCGACTTGACTCTCCGAGCTAAGCTACGACCATGCGCAGTCGCTACCTCGACCACCAACGTTCGAGCTAGCTGCCGGACGACCCTCATCTCGCGTCCGCTCCCGCCATGGGTAGCAAAGGGCGCACGCAGCAGCATCGGCACGCGATCCCTCAATAGCAGAGCCACAAATACCCTCAAGACAAGGGAGCGCGCCGCTACCACCACCGTCATGGCTCATGCTCGGTGGTTCAGAATCTGCGTGCTGCCGGGTCTTTCACGCATGTTTCTGCTGGCCACCAATCAATCAAATTATGCATCTACCCCCTTTCTTACCCCATCAATGTCGCAGCGAACGGTTGCAATAACCAACAACCTCCCTCCCGTCAACCAACACATACACCATCTTTTTACAGCCGCGGCGGAAATCAACAGGGGCCCAGCCGCGCGGTTTCCTCCCCCCCCCCCCCTACCCCGTGCCCGGCTGCAACATAATCCAAGAGATGTGAGCAAAAAAAAAAATGATTTGCTTGTGAAGCAACGACACCAACCCGGAAGGGAAAGAAAATAACGGACCAGATATATAGTCTTGTCCACTTAAGTACGCACACGATTAATACGTTACACCGACCGCGGTATTTGCCACAAAAACATGCCAAAAACCTCCCCGCTAACTTCTCTCGTTGCCAATCCAGTCAAACGCCAAAGGAAGATATTTGCTGAAGAACAGAAAAGACAAAAACACCAGGTGCCAGGCGTGGTCTGGCGTAGGTATGAACACGGTGAGTATCGAGAGATTCGGGAGAGGCCTAAAAACAAGGGAAACCACGACAACACATCAATCACAAATGACAGTAGCAAGGGAGCATGGCGGGAAAAGGTGTCGCCGAAAGTATTTCATAGTTTTGCATGACGCCCTGTCGGAAAAAACACCACAAAAAAAACAAATCGCTTGTCTTCTTCCAAATGGGAAAAGACGTTCCTCCCAATCCCGTCCCGCCCACTACTGACCCCCACCAAGACAAGACGATGGATGTTCTCTCGCAGCTGTGCTCGGGTGTTGTAACTTCTACCTGCGAGTATTCATACCCTTGAGCCTAGGGCTCGAAAACCTAAGCCCTTCCAGTAGCTACCTACTACAAACACAGCTGTTTTAATGGAGTATCCACAACATCACAAACACCCCGGTTTCTTCCTACAACAATCACTACCCCGCCCGACCCCCCCCCACCCCCACAACCTGCCACGTAATACACAATGTCATGCTCAAGACACAAACCATAGCCCGCTATTCGGTGAGAGGGGGAGAAACCAAAAACGCAAACATGAGCCACAGAGCCCGTTGACATGCATAGCCCAGAGCCCATTACACACGCCCCCATGCACCGCAGGTACCCGGATAAAAGTGTAGCTGCTCTCCACCTCCCCGCACGTGCCCAATCGTAGCGATACCGCCTGCCCCCACCCTTCCCCTGTCGTCCGCATGTACCATATCCTCGAAAAGGGATTTCTGTTTTTCGCACACAGGAGACGAAGATACCTTCTGCCGCCCTGGGTTAAATAGCTTCCTCGCGCCCCCCCCCCCCACCCCACAATCCTGCACCTCTTGGGCTGGCGGGTGAAATGGGGCGGGAGCTCGTTCCCACGGTGTTCGCGCGTGAACGCATGTCCGCAGTCTCGAAAGCTTGTCACTGTTTCGAAGGACTCTTGGTCACGGCTGTTGTCTTCTCAGGGCACGTCTCGCTTGCCACCGTCGATGCGGCATCGCTCGTCGCCTCAAGAGGCACCGCGCCCTGCGAAACACACGCGCGCACAGCAGCAGCAGCAGCAGAAGGACACGTTCATTTGTGGCAAAACTGAGCCTTCCGTCCTGTTTCAACGTCACGCCTCTTGGGTGCCCTCGTGGCATGTAGGCAATTTGTATTGCCTTTGTTGCCTTTGTAAATTACCTTTGGTGCGTGCGCGATCCTAGGATGGAAAGCCAGTCGTCCTAAAAACTACCGGACGCCATTAGGGCCGAGAGCAGTCGATGAGGATCGGAACGGTTCCAGAAAAACGAGAGCAACAGCACACACAACCGCAGCCGGAGACAAAAAAAAATGACGGCATGCATACCATCAAGCTCTCACCTCGACAGCGGTCTTTGTTGCTGGCTCTGCTTCGCCCTTGTCGGCCGGCGGCGCAGGCACGGCGGTCTCGTCTCGCAGGGAAGGCTTGTACTGCAGCTCTCCCGTCAGGATCGCCCCGTCGTGCACAGACAGCCGGTGGTATGTTGTCTGCGTGAGAAGGCAAACAACAGGGTTGAGGACGGGACACAAGGCGTTCTCGAAGAAGAAAACGCGGGTATATTGGGAGGAGCAAGCGCAAAAGTCGTGTCCGGGCGTCCCCTGTCTATAGGTTGAGGGTGCATGTGGGGGAGGCCTGCTGTATTGTTGCGCATAGACAGGCGGGGGTGCACCGTCCGCTCTCTCCTCCCTTGACTGACTAGCCCGACACCAATGCCTCTTCGGATGGTTTTGTGGGGAATCATAAATCACTTTCGGGTCGCAGGCTTCTGCGGCGACGTAGGGCGGTAGGTGGAGACGGAGATCGTCGTCTCGTCTTATAACTTTCTTCGTAGATAGGTACATGCAACGGTCATCCACTCAAGAAATAGCACCACGCTGCTGGGGTAAACCGACAGCATTTGGTTGGCTACTACGGGTAACTACCGTATATGACACAAGATAACACACCCCCTGGACCGATTTCCAAAGCTCGATTACTCCACGACGAAGAGGATGCACAAACGAAACGATACATTTTCGAAAATTTCTCAACGAGACGATTCCAACGCTGCCGTTTTCGGCGCCGTGACTTTTCCTGCTGTTGAGAAATCGAGCTTTGAAAATCGGCCAAGGGGGTGTGTTATCTTGTGTCATATACGGTACTGCAATGGATGGGGTGGGCAGACGGCCATGCACCCATCCTGGGAACGGTGACGTTGACTATACAAAGGCAGGGAGGGGGAGGGGGGGGGGGGGTACAGCAATCCCTACCATCGCAAGCTCAGCGGCAGCCGTCCGTTCAAATACAAACGGTCAAGATCGATCCGACGCGGGTACGCTGGACACAGAAGAAATTAGTTAAAAGGCAAATAAGGCCACCCGCACGCGCGTGCCACCGTTCTTGCGACCAACCAATCTGCCTACAGCACCCCCAAGACATGAAAACAACGCCCAAGCGTCTGACGTTATGCAGCAGTAGCAGCAGCAGCAGCAGCAGCAGCAGCAGCAGTAGTTGAGGCTGAAGGAATGAACGTACCAAGCTATCAAAACGCTCGGTCGTCCGCCGAATGTCTTACAACATACAAACGACGGGACACCTGGACACACACAAACGGGGACCTGAAGATACGTGGCGATTGTTCTTCTATCCTTTCCGCGTCTCCCCTCGCGTGGCGGTCCCTAAGTAGTGGACTACAATACTACAATTAGACCACATTCCTTTCAAATCTATAAAAAAAAAACGCAGACTTGGCACAAGCGTACGTTGCATGCCCCCAACTTCTTTTGAGTCCCCTCTCTACCGCACAGGTTGGGCGTGTGTCCTGTGGAGGAAATAATGCAGGTTGTGGAGGAAATAATGCAGGTTGTGGGGGTGCAGAGGCATCCTAGGATTCCAAACCCGAGGTCCCAGGGTGTACCGCGCGAGACAGTGAGAAGCAGGCTGGTTACACCTGTCTCGAGGGGAGCTCTGCAGAGGTCCCTGTTTAACGTCGATTTTTTTAGGTCGATTGCCCTGTCTAGGGCGGGTGAAATCGCCTGGCACAGATAAAATATTCAAGGTGTCTCATACTCTGAATAGAGCCGGGTGCCCGATACAGTACAAGGTCTTGAACAGCAGTGTTCTCCCTTGGACCATTATTTTTTTCTATGCTTCGAATCAGCGCTCCTAAGCGGCCTTAGACATGGACCTCTGACAAACGCCACGAGCTGACGGATGGTAGATGGACGCACGGCGCGGTCCCGACCCAAATCTCGGTTATTCTGCTTCTTACCTTGCCCCCGACCCTGGCGGTGCCGCTGAGCGTCAGACGGTGGTGAATGGTCATCTCCACACCCTCGAAGGACCCCGCCACGTCCGCCTCTTCGCACACAACCGTTCCTCGCATGCATCCGCCTGGTAAACAAAAAACGCAGAAACGCGCGCGCGCGCGGGGGGGGGGGGGCGAGGGCAAAGACGCGTCAATCAAAAAACTGGTTCAATGAAGAGTATCGATCACGACCCCCTTCCCACGATAGCCCAGTAGCCTTCCAAGGGGTCTTCGATTAGCGCTCCCAGTCGCCTTCGTGCAGGCGGTGTCGGGGTTAAGTTAAAGGTAAAAGGCAGTCGACGAACGCAAAATTTCGGTCCGCAGCAACATGCAGCCAGCACCACGCGCCAGCAAATACACTCCAGCCTACACGATTTTTTCAAGATACAAGAATTATTTAGCACGCAATGCGTTGCACTACACCCCCCCCCCCCCCTGAACAAAAACTAAAACGGCAAAGCTGCCTACGTACGTTGAGCTCCTTTTCTGACGCCGTTGTTATTTTGTTTTACAAAACGTGAGCCTCGATGTTGTTGAATCGTTTAATGTGTTTCGCATAAGTGGGTGGACGCTGCTGTATGTATCAGGATATCCTCCGCTTGTGCAGCCGCAAAAAAAAACAGCACATAACTTTGTGTTACTGCTGTGGCCCGGACAGGGCTGGTGTGACGCGGCGACGAAGTAAAAAATTCGGGAGAAGACGTTGTATGATAGCTAGATACAAGACATGTGTCTTGTGTCTGCCCGCGCACAGAGGAGAGCCGCTTCATGGAAGACGCTTTCGTCTTGTGGGCGGAACACGAATAAGCTGAAATATGACCCGCGGCGTTCTGTTTCAGTCCAAACTACAGGTGCAGCAGCAACACTACTGTAGTCCTCTATCAGGTCCAAGCACCTCTCTTGCAATGTGGCGCCGCTGCTGCAGCTTGGCGCCGCGGCATCCACAAACAATACTTCTGCTTCGAATGGTATACTACAGCAGTAGCGGCCTGAGAAGTCGAAAAACGGATGTTCTGGAGTAGGTGGTTGTTTCCTACAGCCAGCACGACCTCTCTTCTCAACGGCTAATGGCACCATGCAAGCACCTCTTGGTCGAGGCTCTGGCTCAAATTTCCTCTGCAGATTATCAACAACGGCCGTTACACAGCTGTACACGACACCTAAATTCTACGTACATACTGGTATGTACCTCTCTCTACAAACGTTCGACCGAGTAAGGCTTGAGCCTGAAAAACCGTACTAGGTAGCATACGCATCTGCGGAAGGATAAGATGAGTGTCTGTAGTCTGTACTCTCCCAACCGGCACCATGGTTGCACCGATGGTTCCCCGACATGCCGACAGAAACCGATGAAAGAACAGGCCTGTGCACACATGAGCTAAAAAATTTAGATGCTTGTCTGACGGCACCGTGTTCCAGCAGTTGTTGTTGTTGTTGTTATTCTTCATAATAAAATTCGGTCCGGTCGGTCTCTAACTCAGTGGTACCTTGTAATAATATCCGTACTGGTCCAACTGACTCGGGGCGCCTCGCGTGTTCACAAAGCAGTGCCCGCCACAAACCGGCGAATTAACAGCCAAAAAATGTTGCACCGAACTGGTCACAGCAGTTATTAGGGCGCAATGTTCCAACTATTTTTTTGTTCATTTTTTTCGTGCAATGTTCCAAGTTTGGTGGAACATGTGTCATACATGTGATTGCCGGTGAATCAACCAAAAGTGTGCGGGCGGGTAGCCACCGAGGACTAACAGGACAAACGCGCCGAGTGGTCATTATAGGATGCCTACATTAATACTAAGAAAGACCGTCTTAAACAGCAGTCGTCTAGATAGATAGATCTTCACTGCGAAAAATCCCTCTGCGGGTTACGCAATACACTTCGTACATCGCGGGTATGTACCCCTCAGGGCGTACAGCAGCACAGCAGTTACACCCCGGGTACGCAATCACGTTCTCTTGGGTGACTTGTTGCACACTATAGCACTATAGTGTGTATAGACTTAAAAGACTCGAAAAAAGTCCAGTACCCAGCCAGTTTCCCTCCACTCACTGAAAAGACTCCACCACATCCCGTTCGACTGTGGGTATATCTCGAATGGGTAGTCTTTCTGTTGGGTATATCTCGAATGGGTAGTCTTTCTGTGTGTGTTTTTATTATTCCTTAACACTACCGCCTGCCTCCATCAATCACATTGATTGTGTCGTGGGCATCCAGCACCAATTTTTCTATGCAAGCGAGAAACAAAGATCATTTGCCCGCCGTTGCTGCTGCCGCTAAATTGGGGGGGGGGTGTACTCATAGTCGTGCATGCCGTAGTCGTTAGACCATCAACCTCGCATCCCTACTAAGCCGGGACGGAGCACGCCGGGTTCTCACCGGACCAGGCTCTCACATCACCAAGCGCGAAGCACCGTGAGGTATTTGGCGAGTCGCATGAAGGGTGAGCTGCATCCTGCTAAGGGTGTTCGGCATCTTGTGCTTACTTCCTTGCGTACGGATGACAGCTGCGTATGACTTAATTTATGTTCTGGTGCTTTCACTTCCAGAGACAGTTGTAAGCACTGTGTAACTGCCTCGAGGATGCTTGACCATTTTAACAACGTGGTGCGATCATCCCCCTTGCGCGGAGTGAGGTTTCTCGACCCCGCACAACATGATCTACTCGACCACCAATATGGTTACCGCAAAAAAAAAACAGAGGAAAAAAAAAAAAAACGGTAACCTGGTTGCCGAGTTCACGAAGTGAATTGGCTTGTTTTACAACGTCGTTGCCAAGCGACGAAAACCCAACCCCGATGACAAACACCGGGGGGGGCGCTAAATTGGGGGGGGGGCAAACAAGGGGACACGAGATTCTAACGGAACGGTTTGCGTTGGAACCAACGCCGCCTCCTCTTTTGCCACAACGGCCGGCGGCGCGCGGTAAAAGGGCAAAACGCAACAACGACCACACATTGAAGTTTGGGCACGGAATCATTTTGTATCAAAAGTCTCGGGGCTGGGGGGCGAAAAATGAGTTTAGGCGGAACGTCGGCTACAACGGGAGGTACGAGGTATGCAAAATGTACGGTACATATGTGGACCACCAGCAAGTGCGGGCAATAAGGGGGGGGGGTATCATCGGCATCTATTTACAGCCGGAAAGCTGCGCTGCTGCTGCCGCCGCATGCTACAGCAGCGCGGGAAAAATTGCCGTCAGGGCTTTTGAGATGTGCACAACAAGGCGAGACGGCGAAAAAAGAAACCCCGCTGCTCGTTCGCAGACATTCGACGGGCACCCTCTCAAAGAAAATCGCCTCATACAACAGACTACTGTAACTCAAAATGATACACAGCAAAGGACAAAAATTAATCCGCAACAAAAAAAACATCCACCACACGACCGCGCGTTCCGTGTGTCCAAAAACGAGCTCATGGTGTACACACACTCTCCCTCTCACCTTTCATGATGACGACGTACTTCGCCACGATGTTCCCGTCCAGGTTCCCCTGCACGATCACGGCGTCGCAGTTCTCGACGTCCGCAGTCATCACTACGGACTTGCCTACCACGAGCACCCGCTTTGTGCCGGCCGGGACTATCGAGGGTGGCCCCGCAGGCTTGGGCTTCGGCGCCAGGGCTTTCTTCACGGGTGCCGCCGGCTTGGGCTCCGGCACCACCACCGCCGCCGCGGCCGCAGCCGCCGCAGCCGCCGCAGCCGCCGCAGCCGCCGCAGCCGGCTCGGGAGAGGAGGAAGTCGTGGTCGGCGTGAAGTCCTTCGGCGTTCGGAACGACGGCTTCTTCTTGAACATTATGATGATGAGCTACTGTAGCTAGCTGCTGCTGCTCTCGCTGTGCTGCTTGTTGTGCTCCTTCTGCAAACAAAGAGCGGTCGATGGGTCTGTTGCTGCTGCTGCGTTGCCTACTGCTGCTTCGCCTACCGCTGCTGCTGCTGCCGCCGCCGTCGAGTTGACTAAAAAGTTTCCGCACTTTGCTTGCTGCTGCTGCGGCTGCTACTGCTGAGAGAAACACGGGGGTATTGGGAGGGGGGCGGGTGTTGGTTGTGTTGTTTTTGTGTTAGTGCGGGTCTCGCGCGTGTGGTTTGAGTTTTGAGTGTCTCGAAAAAAAAGCACCCCAAGACAAGGTCGACATATAGAACAGTTAGACGGGTCGGCGTACCTGCACGGCGGTGTATGGTGGTCCACCGATCTGCTGCCTAGGTGTGTGGGTGCGTGTTCGTCTGTTGTGCTAGAGACGAAGCGAGGCGCCGAATGGAATGACGGATGGGGACCTGCACACACGGATCAGGCAAGAAATTATCGTTCAGAGGCCCCGTGTTTCATTCGTTTTGGCCACCCCCATCTTTCGTTCCGCTCTCTCTCTTGTTTTGATTCGCATTTTCGACCTTGATCAACCACACCAATTTTGCTGCACCATCTCTCTCGGCGCCTTCCCCCCTCTTCCGCCGTCCCGTGGACTCACGCGTACACGTCGCACACACTCGCCCCGAGCTCTTGCAGCCATATCACGGTCGGTCGGTACAAGACACCTAGAAGGTGAGTGGTGGACAGCAAGAAGCGAGGGTTATTATTGCGGACCCTCTTTTTCGCGCTCCTCACCGTTTTTGTCACCACCTGTCTGATGCTGCCTCGCCTAGCCTGGCTCTTCGACCGCCACCCGCACAACAGACACGTCACGAGCAGCAGGAGTAGCAGCAGAACCCCCCCCCCCCGTATCAAGAGCTGCTTTTTCCGCTGGTCTTTTTTTGTGTGGCCACCACGCTTGTTCGGCCCTCATCTCTTCTCGACGAGCTCGAGAAATTAATTCACACGGCAGCAAGAAGAGAGACCCCGCGCGTGCCCGTGCCCCTGAAACTACGCTCATCCATCCCCCGTTTCAAACAGGATCGACAAGACCATGGCTACGCCGACAACTGCCGGACGCGTGATTATCGGCCAGGGTATCACAGTGAAGGGCGACATCAAGAACTGCGAAGAAGTGATCGTTCGCGGCTTCTTCGATGCGGGAAACGTAGAGGCAAAGACGGTGGTTGTTGAGGCCGACGGTGAGAGAAAAGAAAAGGCTGCTTGCTGCCGCTGAGAGAAGAGCAAGTATTCCGACGGGTTCGAACATGTTGCATATTGCATACACATGTACAGCAGTAGAAAAAAGACACCCTGACGTGCTGGACGACCGGTGTCCTCGTGAAGGCTTGGTGGGCCTGCTTGCTGGCGCGGAAGCCGGAGCAGAGTGTGCGTCGTGTCTTATCGCATGCAGAACGGGCGAATATGCCTACTGTAGGGGGGAAGAACATAGGTTTCGACGTTGACGAATTTCGAAAACAAACGCAACAAAAGGTCGAGAAATTGTACAACAGACACACCCAGTCGACACACAAGACCAGTTGGGGGGCATCGCGAGAAACAGAAATCGTTGATTCTCGCACAGGGCGGCTTTTGAGGCTGCTCAAAAATACATTTCACGCGTCTACCTCCACAGGCCTCCTTTGAAAAATTCACGCTATTCTAAATTCAAGTCAATAGAGCCGAAACGGAAGGCGCTCAAATACGGCCAGTTTTGAGGGTTAAGGTTATGCAGTCTTTTGTCATCAGTAGAGGACACCATGAAGAGGCGTCGTACATACGTGCTGGCACGTTCAGGTTTGCTACTGGAGCGGAAATATCGAAGGTCGCAGCAGCCTCTGAAAACAGTCCGAAATCTGCGCCGGAACCAAGCGGCATCCAACATTTGTCACAGCCATGCTCGCCGCCACCGACCCCTACATTCTCCTGAACTACGTAGCGGGTTACAGCAATAGCTGATGCCACTAGCTACTGCGGACACCCCTCCGTTCAGGGGTTTACGGTCCGCTCCAGTAGCAAACTTGAACTTGCCAGCACGCGCGACGCCTCTTCATGGTGTCCCTACTGATGACAATAGAATGCCTATAACCTAACCCTGGCGGGAAGGTTGTTTTCTCTATCTGTTTGGCATTAAAGTATGGAAAAGAGCCAGCGTCAAAACCCCTGTTCTTCCCCCCCTTAACGGCACGTTCCTCCCGCATGTACCATGTGTGGCTTATTTGCTCTTCAGTATGTACCTCGTCCAACGGACCTGTCAAAGTTCTCTGCGGAAGAGGGAGCAGCGGTCACCCCACCGCCGCCCTTTGACTTCCAAGACAAGATTATCAGCCAGCTGGTTTTCTTCCCACTCACTCCAACAAGCCAAGCTATGTGCATGCCATCCCTTCGACTGCTGTGTCATTTTTCGAGCGGGGATGGTCGTTCTCTGGCGGTGTGTGTACACTTTCTATTATAGTCTAAACAGAGGTTCTTCAATTTCCGAATTCCCGTCCCTGACTCCGCAGGCGATGCGTTTTTTTCGTTTCGCTCTTCGGTGGGTGTTTCGGGGACCTCCCATCTTTGATGTCTCCCTGTCGGGTTCCCTCTTGGTGAAGATTCCCTGCCTTTATAACATCATACTACCCTCCTTGCTGCCGTAGTCTAGATTTCTACGCCACCCCGGCGAGGGCTATCGTTTCGTTTGGAGTTTGTTCTGAGTTACCCGGGGTCGAGATAAACGAAGTCGCTGGCGATTTCCAAGCAGAAGCCCCCCCGGCATAGACGCGAGCGCGTGCCACCGCCCACTGCTGTAGCGCACTTGTGGGGCCGAATGCTGCGAACATCGTTCTGACCCCCCAAGATTTGCTTCGATGCGTTGTGACGCCACAAGCCACAAAATTAGAAGGATGGGACGAGATTTGTGTAACCCTTGTTGCGAACAACGTTCTGGCCGTCAAGATTTGCTTCGATGCGTTGTGGCGCCACAAATCAAGAAGGATTGGACGAAAATTTTTGTACCCTACCCCCTCGGAGGAACCCTTGACAAGAAGTCCGTTTTCGACAATCAATTCCACTCGGGAAACTTCAATCTTGGGGCCGTTTTATGCGTCGGCAGGGGGATCACGGTTGTGGGCAGGGAATTGAAAAAGGTGCCACCCCACTCTTTTTCGTTGTCGTCCAACCCCATTTGCGCGTCGTTTCCTTTTGGACGCGTTGCTCGAGATGCGTGGCTGCTCTAAAGCTCGTGCTGCCTCCGTATCGCGGGGAACAACGTTTGCAAGTTGTGCTCGTGCAATGGATACAAACCGACAATCCGTTGGCCGTATGGTTTTTTGTTCCTTTTGGTTCTTCCAGGAGTCCTTACCGGAGCGACCAAGGCCCAGAACGCTAAGATCGCGGGCAAGTTCGACGGCCACCTCCGCCTGTCGGAGGGACTTAACGTTACGAGCAGCGGCGAGGCCAAGGGGGTGAGGTTACTGCTGTATGCATAGTTTGCGACGGTACATGCGCAAGGCCGCGAACCACGGTATATAGCCTGCCTGCCCGCACCGCCGTGGTCGTTTTTCTGTGCTGCTCTGCGCAAAGCAGGTGCAAGCTGGGTGAACAATGACGTCCCTCCCCCCTTCGCTCCTCGGTCTCCCCTTGCTTGTCTCAAAATCTGTCTCATTTTGGTGTTGTCGCAGACGATCCGATACCGGGGTATCCAGGTTGAGAACGGCGGGAAGCTGTTCGGGGATATCCAGTTCGCAACAGAGGATTCTTGATTCCGGTTCGGCCGTACATGTGAAGAGTGGCCAACATTTTATCGGAAAGCCGGAGCGAGAGCTACGGCATGATTAAGACTGGGTGCTGTCTCGTGCCCTGGAGGGAAGATGGTTGGGGGGGCGGTGGGGATCCACGTAACTTGACGAATCCGTGGTAGGAGTTATTTGTAGGATTCCCTGCACCTTTTCGTTTGGCGATCGAACCGCGCTATCGTGGTGTTGTTAGGCAACCGCCTTCCTGGTGTCGGCCCGCCTGCGAGCTGTTTGTATTGTAGCGACGCGCCTGGGGGACCGGGATGTAATAAGTTTGTTTCCCTTGAATATGTAGCAGCAGCTAGATTAGTTATATGCACCGATAGGCCCCCCTTCTCCCGGCACCAAGATGGCAGACGCCTACCACTGTTGTTTATTTTTCGTGTGGGAGGCGAGAGGCGGCATGGTTGTTGCTTGAGACAAGTCGCGTCGCGAAGGCCTTTTCGGTTTAGGAGCATTTACCGCGTGTTGTTTGCCGTCGTCGGGCTATTATATTAGTGCGGACGGCATTTTTTGGCTGGAGTAATTCCCCGTTTTTTGTGTTCTGCCGAGCAATGGCGCGTTCATCCTATGTACTTAACGCTCTTCTTTCGTTCGCGACGAAGCTCCCGCCGTGACGTTCCTCTTAGCTGTCCTTGTATGGAGATGCCCGCCTTTGGCTACGGTGGGCGTTTCTTGGATTACTTTCCCTTCCGGGGGGCGCTGGCTGCTCTCTGCCAGAAATGTGTCATGGTGTGCAGATTTTTCCCGCCTTGCTTTTCCGAGTCCTGGAGATGCGAATTCACTTCCCCCCCCCTAAGGGTTAAGAGTGGTGAGTGCAGATGACGATCTATCCCTTTTGCGTGGTGCGTGAGCGCCTGCCTCACCCATTGCTTTGTCACTCGGTCGCCTTTAGCCCTATAGTACGTAAAAAGTGTCCCCTAAAAGATAAGCCACTGTTGGTACCCGCGTGCAGCTGAGTTGTTGATGATGCTTTCGGTTGAGATGAAAACCGTTGAAAAGTACCGCAGTTCCCAGTAGATTGTCCTCTCGAGTTGGTTGTTTGCCCTGAAGCGTCGTATCTCCGTGTTTCCCCGCACCAGACAAAATCGCGTTCCGGGTATAGTAGGAATCCGACAGAGGAACTTACGAAGTGGTGAGCTAGTCTAAGTGCTTGCTGCGGCGTTAGGGCCGACTCACTGGGGCAAAGGTTCCATACCATACCATGGGCGACGGGTCTCGCCCTGTGTCCAAGATTTGCAAAGTGACGAGAGATGTTGGGGTTTTGGTTCGGATTGGGTTTTGTTGTGACGTTTATTGGCAGGATGTCCTGGTCTCGGTTGGATTTTATTGGCAGGATGTCTCGTGTTGCCTTGGATATTCGTGTTTGTACCAGATGCATGTGTTGCACTGCTGTGTGCCTCGATTGGTGTGAGAATCCATGACCACTGTGACCACCTGAAGGCGCCTCTACGCGCGAGCAGGATCATCAGTGTGGACTATCACGGAGTCTTCGGTAGCACTCCTGTTGACAGAGAAAGGTCGGAGAAAGGCGTTGGTGTTGGGGTTGTGGTGGAGAATGAACGTCTATGCATACTGTGTTAAACTTGACGGTACGTGCGTGGTGTTGAGTGTTGTAGTGCATGGATTGGGTTCGTGGGGCGACACGCGCGCACCTTACGGCGGTTTCGTTAAGCAGTCATCACGGCGTCGCTGCCCATCCCGCCCGGGTTGCTCAGTGCACCCAAAGCAGGGAGCGCGAGCCTGCCAATTGGCCGGAGGGGTGGGTTGCGGGCAACCCTCGTGCGTATCTGACCATGGAACACCCATCGCATCTCTGCCCGTCTCACCCGGGTTGCTCAGTGCACTCGAAGCAAGGGAGCGCCAGTTTGCCAAATACATGCTGGTTTCCATTCACGTTACCCATGCCTTTTCCCGGCGGAAGACAAAAACGACACGTACGTTGAGGTCATAACGGCTTGCGCTGCACCATCTACCCACAAGGTAGGGAACGTCTGCGCATACGGCACACGACCTACGAGAGACGGGGGTGACTCCATGTAAGGGTGATCTATCACGCCCAGAATTCTCAAAGAACTCCAACCCTGGACCAACTTTCAATGCCCGATTGCTCGACAAACAAGAGGTCGCGACATCCGACCGATGGATGTGCCGGAAAACAAATCTCAGCGACGTGTCCCCCAAATCACCCCATTTTTCGACCTTGGAACCCCTTCCCGATTGTGGAGCAATCGAGCTTTGAATTTCGGCTGAGGTCTCGGCGTTGGCTGCGAGCTTTTCGGCAATACCGCAAGTCCCTGAACATGAACTGCCGTCTGCCTGCTCGAGTTGACTCGGCTCGAAAACCCGCCACGAAACGGGAAGCACCCCCGTGACTTGTCCTTAAACGCGTCCGAGGACGGAAAACACCGGTCGAAGAAACGGCGGGAAAACGGTCAAACCGGGCGCTATCAAATCACCAAGAGTTAAAAATCGGAACCGCCCTGGTGCCCAAGTGCCTGTCGCTCTGGAAACCCTTGATCCATACCATACAAGTCGCGTGACCCACCCCCACAATCCAACATCACAACCAAAAATACCAGCAACACTACAACTCCAGCAGCTATTCCAACATCTTGTTTCGGCGTCTCATCTTGTCAGCAACCTGGTCCGTCACAACACTAAATGGGGGGAAACAAAAAGAGGACACAACCCGCGATGCCCCTGAACGGGACTGACTACAGCATTCGCGGGTGGGGAGTAGCAAACTGCAAAAAACACAGAAAACCGGGGGGGGGGTATCCAAAGCTACAGGCAGCGGTCCGTCTACCAAGACTAGCGATGTCGAACGTATGGCCTCCAGACACGACTTCCAAAGATAAATCATCATCAGGCACATTCTTCGCGCTCTGCAGCACGCCCCGGACCCGCCCTCAATAGTCCTGCCGATAAAGGAAAGGTCATGCCAACTCGCGGCACGAACCGAGTCGTGACTGCGGGGGGGGCTACAACCCATTGTACACGACTGCGACAACAAGATAAGCTACGGCGAGCAAAACGTAGACAATAAGAAACCAGACGGATACCACGAACAAGTAGAACGGGACGAGGGTTTTCCTGCGAAACAAAGTGGCGGTGGCGGCGGCGGCGGGGGGGGGTAACGTCATTACCCACTTGCATGCGTGGCTATACATACTACCCCAGGGCTTAACATGTTCCTTGCCCAGTCGGAAGGAGGCGCGGGTGCTACTATTTCGTTCGCTGGTGGGATATTCTGCCTCTCAACCTTCGTTACAATTCCAAATATGGCACCGGAGGAGTCGGACAAAATCGGGCTGGACGGAGTGGAGGCGCGGATTCAATGGCCGACCTCAGCAACGTCTAGCCCCTGTCGACATCAAAAAACAGAAAAACAAGCACTTGCAGTCGGACGGCGGGGGTACCCTGTGATGAAAGTACTCTCGCTTGTTGTTCGCGCACTATGGTTGGGGGGGGGGGGGGGGGGGGACCCTTTTGCTTTTGATGCCTTAACGGTTAAACCCTTTACCCCCCCTCCCCCAAAGGAAGGGGCCTTTTT